CTGTTTCTCGATGAGGGTGTTTGAGGTATAGGAAGTGTTCAACACCCCCTTTTTTTCCTTTTTATTACTTTTTTCTTTTCAGTGCTGCCGTTTCCCCCTTTGCTGTCCTGTGACCATTGCTGTGCCACCACAAGCTCCCACGGGTGCCAGTGCAAGCCCAGGGATTACTCTGCTGCGCTGACATCAGACCAGCGTGGGTCCCCTCTGCCATCACGTTGGGTTGGAGGAACTTGAGCTGCAAGGGCTTGGCCGGCTGCGCCCGGACACCTCAACCCTGAGAGAGTTGAATGCCCGCAGGGGTTTATCTGTTTATTTGCCAGCGTGTGTCTGAAGCCTTTGGTCGCTGTAGTTTCCTGGGGCTCTGAAACACAGCTGAGTGCTGAGCCTGCCCCTGAGCCGTTGCCTCTCCCGGCTCCCACGGGGTTGGCGTTGGGTCACCTCATGTCAAACCCTACAGCAGGTGCCACGGCACGTGTCGTGGCAGCTCTGCTCTGTTGTAGGAAGCTGTCGGTTGGCCATGAAGGTGTTTCATGTAAGCGGTGGGAGCAGTCAACAGCACGCGTTGCGCGTCGGCTTCTGCTCATGGTGTAGCTGCCGTGAACCTGCGTGTCTGGCCGTAACCAGGGCACCTCGGCGTGGCCGACACGGCCCCGCAGCCATCTGCCCGCAGCACGCTGCCTCTTCGTTTCGGTGAAGCCTTTAAGCAGAAACGGACAGTTGTGGCCCTGTGTTTTGGGGTTAAATGGGGAGAAGGGATCTGGTACTTCAGGTTCTGCTCCTGTCTTTGCCACTGACGGATCCTAAACAGACTATGCCACCGGTTTTTGTCTTCTGCCATACGTTTCCCAATAATGCCCACCCACCCACTGGGGAAAGCGCAGCGCCGGGTGTCTGCAGGCATTGTTGGGAACCCTCTGTCAAATATGCTAGAAAAACACGAAAGGTATTAATTTAGGCCAAAGATTACGGGAAGTCTGTTTGTTAGGGTTTTTTTGTACCTCTATTTTTAGATTGCCAGTCTGAATTGCCAGGATCAGGCCCTTCCTCAGTCACAGTATTCGGGCCTTCCTGCTAAGGAGGGTTTTTGAGCCATTCCTGTTATAGCACCTCACATCTCTGCGTTTGAAAATCTCCGCTTAAATTTTTTGATGAGCTCCTAAATAAAAAGACAGGCCCTAAAAGGATATTTATGTGAGAAAACGGTCCGACTTTCCCTTCTGCGTCAGGAGAATTGGTTTGGAGGATGTGAAAGCGTAAAGGCTCGGTACGCACTACTTCCACATAAACCTCCTGACGTGGTACTAAAGCCGTGATTAGCGTGAAGTCCGTGTCTGGATTTACCTGCTCAATTTGCAACGGGTGTATAAACCTTAAATACTCTTGGTAGTATTTTTCTTCTCCTGGGCTTTGAGTGTGCTCTATTACCGTTAGCATCGGTATTCCTACACTTGTGGTATTGGGGCTTGTATTTCCAGGTGTAATTTTGGATATGCCTAATAAGTGGAGCTGTGCTGCTCACCGTGTCCCTTTTCTCCTCTTCCTTCCGCAGCCGGAGGAGCTTACCAACGCCCTGGAGATCAGCAACATAGTCTTCACAAGCCTCTTTGCCCTGGAGATGCTGTTGAAAGTCCTCGTTTATGGTCCTTTTGGCTACATTAAGAATCCGTACAACATCTTTGATGGGATCATCGTGGTGATTAGGTGCAAACCTAGAGCTTGCTTTATGCGTGTTTCCCCTCACTTGGCTGTTTAATTAAACAGAAAGTAATGGAGAGTGGGCACAAATACCTTCCTGTGACACTTTATACTTCTCTGCTGTAAATTAACGCACTTAGACACGATTGCTAATACATATCTTGGGGTTATTTTGTGGTCATTTTAGAGAGAGGCTCAAACAGAGAGCTATCAGTCCCAGTGTTCTGGGGAAGTCTGGGATCCAAATGGTACAACCGGTGCCCCATTAAGTAGCTGTCTGGTTTTTTGGCATGTGCAAAGGCTGCAATTGCCCCTGCAGCTGCAGCCACTGATGGGCACACGTGTGTTTGACACTCTAGTGGGGCTCTGCTCTTTGCAAGCCTGGACGGCGTCCAGCTCACCGGGGGCACCGGCAGCGTGTCTCTGCTCGCTTTCCGTTCCTTTTCTCTCTGGATTCCGCCCTCCCTTTGCTTCCTCTCTCCCGTGCCTTTGCATTAGGCTTTGTCTTCTCATCCTGCAATGACCTTTTTTCTTCCCTCAGCGTGTGGGAGATAGTGGGCCAGCAAGGTGGGGGGCTCTCGGTCCTGCGGACTTTTCGGCTCATGCGAGTTTTGAAGCTGGTCCGCTTCATGCCAGCCCTTCAGCGCCAGCTCGTAGTCCTCATGAAGACCATGGACAATGTGGCCACTTTCTGCATGTTGCTGATGCTCTTCATCTTCATCTTTAGGTGAGTGTCTCTGATGCCCCATCCTGAGGGTTCTCGGGGTTTTTAGGTGGGATCCGATGGTGAGGTGAGGAGATGTAAGGAGTCCATACCGGGACGTGGCTGAGCTGAACAGTCCCAGAAACAGCATCGTTGGCCAGCGCTGGTGATGGCTTGCTGCCCTGACTAAATTATCTTAACTCGGGCCAAATGAGACATCTGTCTTTGCAACATGATTTACAAGGAAAATCTTTCAGCTGGATGATTCCTTGACATTGCCCCAAGACGGCGGTCCCATTACTTCCCGACCAGCAGAAAGCCTGGTGCTAAAAATACTGCCAAGGAGAGGGCGATGTTCCTAAAATAGTCAGCCGTGGTGGTGCTTGTGCTCGTGCATGGCCTTTTCTTCTGAGAAGTGAGGTTCTGCAGTGGAAACCTTAGAAATAGGCTTGGCATAGCCCCGAATTTTGGGATTTTGGTCTAGATTTTGAAAAGAACCTGTCTCCTTGTAAAAGCCAAGTCCGGTGTTCCGGCAATGCAGGCACTGGGAAGGCTGAAGACAGCCAGTCTCTTCTAGGGAATAATATCCCTTCTCCCAGTGCGCTGTTTCACTCCAAAACCCACCATTTGCAGCCATGGTGCTCAGCAGAGCTGTAAATAATTTGATTATTCAGGTTACTGGATGAGAGCAGGGGAAACTAAATTATTCTTTTAGTATCAATCTAAAATGAAAGGTATTCTGTTTTCTTGTCAAAATTGAGAAAGTTGTTTCAGGTCCCCTGATATGTCTCAGGCATTTCACAGAAACCCTTTTTGTCTTCCTAATTCAATTTAAGCATATTTTGCTGAAAATGTGTCATTGCAAAACAGAAAGTCAAAACATTTTGTTTAGAAAATGTTGAAACAAAATGTTTTGACTTAAAAAAACAAAGCAGAAGAAAAAGAAGGAGCGGGCATAGTTTCTGGTTGAAACTCTTTGACAGTGTTGACCCAAATTCACAACTGGTTTGAGTGATCTCGAGGCATGTTTTTCAGCGAACGAATGATTCATCTTTTTAACAAAAAAAAAAAAAAAAGAATTTCCCAGGTGAAATCAGGAGGCAGAGTCAGCCCTGTGGTACGATTAGCGGTTTGTACTGTGGTCTCCTGTTGAGCCCCTGCTTTCCCTCCTGCGCAGCATCCTGGGGATGCACCTTTTTGGCTGTAAGTTTGCTTCGGAGCGAGATGGCGACACGCTGCCCGACAGGAAGAACTTCGACTCCTTGCTCTGGGCCATCGTCACAGTTTTCCAGGTATGGAACAGAAAATGCCGACGCTTCTGTGCATTTTGGGGCTGCAGGGGCTGAGGTGGTTTTCCAAAGCATCTGACGGAGCTTAGTGAAGCTCCTTGCCATGGAAGGGAGGGAGCCCAAAACCACAAGTGAGGGAACACAGGAGGTTTCACACCATTTTCAAGAACAGAAGAGAGAGCTCATGAGGAGGGGCTGCGGAGGCAGGAAGCTCTTGCATTTGCAGGGTATGGGCTGGGGGGGAAGTAGGCACCGAAGGCGGCGATGGAGAGGAGGTGATCAGGACCATTTACACTGATACTTCGACAAAGACCAGAATCCGGTTTAAGCCCATAACCGATACGTGCAGATTTTTGTTTAGCAGCCCTGAGCTCTGTGACTGCAGGATTTGTGAAGGACTGTCAGCTGTTCTGGCCGACCAAAGGGAAGGTCTGACCCACGCCACGTTGCACTCCCTTACGGCTGAACGTGTCCCTTGGTGCGGGTGGGACTCGGGGGGGTAGGCAGGGTCCTGACCGGGTAGCATGGGAGTCGCAGTCACTTTGGTCCCATCTGTTCTCTGGCTCAGAAGGTGGCTTGGGCCAGGTTTGTCCTGCTGTGGTTATAGCTACAGTGGATACCCCAAAAGTCGGGTGCTTGTCTGGCCCATCCAGAGCGCAGATACCCAGCCAGGCTCGGGGAAAATGGCACGTAATCCTCTGGCATCTCTGTTTTCCTGATACCCTTCCTCTGCAGATTTTGACCCAGGAAGACTGGAACAAGGTCCTTTACAACGGCATGGCGTCGACCTCCTCCTGGGCCGCTCTCTACTTCATCGCTCTCATGACATTTGGGAATTACGTTCTCTTTAACCTGCTGGTGGCCATCCTGGTGGAGGGTTTCCAGACAGAGGTAATGTCCTCACGCTCATGCCTTTGCTTTTTTCTAAAGTTTCAGGGCCTCCAGATCCTGGAATTTGATTTCTGAGATGGACGGGAATATGTTTACAGGAGTGGTACATGAAAAAAGTGGGGGAAAATATTAGGTCTTTTTTTTTTTTCTTCTTTCTCTTAGCCGCGGTGCAATTTAATACAGCCAGCCTTCTAAACGAAGGGCTGAAATGAAAAGCATTGTTAGCATTAATGCAGGAGTGGGACTTCAGTGGTGAGTCAGGCACTGCGGATGGCATCGCTGCTGTGACAGTGTCTTTGAAACAGTTCTCACCGTGTTTGTCAGCCAGATTAAAAGCCCCTCCTGAAAACTTACGCAGGCTGGGGAGAGATTAGTGACACAATTATCTTTTTTTGATAGTACGTGTTCGTGGAGCTCTTCCCATTTCCAGCCCCGTAATGCTCTGCACATTTTAAAGTACGTGATTTCTGCTCTCTGCCAGCTGATTCCTGAGGCTGGGAATTTCCATGAGACACCCTGGATTGCTGGAGGCTTTCATGGAAGGGCAGGGAGGCACTTAGGTTTGAACTCAAGCTGTTGTTTTGGGGTTTTTTTCAACCTACTGCCTTCCCAAGTGTCCAACGCGGAGCGAGTAAGCATGTCACCTAGTCCCCAGAGTGGGGGACTTGCGATGCCACCCACACTCTGCAAAAATTGTCCGACTGCCCAAGATGATCAGTGAGGGGGGGGGACCTTTACACCCTGCCCGGGGGATTGGAGGGGCGAAGGTAACCAAACCTGCTCACAGGGATCTGTTTGTATAGGCTGTGTTTTTACATGCTCTCTCTGATTATTTTTTTTATAAGTGTTCTGGAGTGACTTAATGTTACTTAAGATTTGTTGCTTATGTATCATAATATCCTCCCACCCTCCGAACAGCTACGCACGGAACTGCTGTTACTATTTTCAGAGCACAGTTTAGGGTTAAATTAATGGAGTTGTACCAGGAGATAGCAAGAAGAAATTTTTTTTTATCGTCTCTCTCCATGTTGGTGCTTTTCTTTTTTTAATTGTTATTGTTGTAGCTGTTTCTGTCTGTAACCCC